AAACTGTCATTGGGCTGTACCAGAAATCATCTGTTAAGACCCTGGCTTTACTCTTTGCGAATTATGGCGGAGCAGATGCAGGTCAGTTTTGTGGAAATTGTATTTTTAATGTGGGACAAACTTTTCTCGGAATTAAAGCCATAAACATTAACATTTAAAGTTGTTTCATGTTAATTTAAAACCTTTTTGTTTCCCTTTATTCAATTTGAAGAGGCTGGTGGTGGCAAGAAGGGAGGCAAGAAGAAGGGTTCTTCCTTCCAGACTGTCTCAGCTCTTTTCCGGGTATAGTGCTGTATCTGTTATCTCTGAAATGTGAAGAAAGGGGATGAGCTAATATTAAATTTGAAAGAGTTATTTTTAATTACTCAAAAGGGGGTAAATTTCTCTGGAAATTCCACATCAGGTTTTTCAGAGTCAATTTTAACATTGCAAATATGTCCAAAAATGGGCATTCAGTCTTCAAAAGTATGTAAATCTACTAATTTGTGCTGGTTTTCTTTTCTTTTCATTAGCAGATATCATTCAGATCCTCATATTTTTATGTCTTTGCATCAGACTAGAATGGTAATATTACTATTCATGCATTTTTGTTGAGGAGTTGAAAATAATTTCCAAGAAGATATTCATGTCCTTTGAATAAATCCCTATTTTTTGAAACTTAAGTAGATTGAATTTTGAAACTAGAATGTGAAAAAACTAAGTCATTTACTCTTTGTGAATGTGTGAAATCATACATTAGTTTTCACTGAACCAATACCAGCACTGTAGTATTTCAGTCTAGGTGCTCAGTATCTTCAAATACAGGAAATTTTTTGGTTTCTGTGGTTTTATCTAAATGCTCCAAAACCCAGCTTGAGAAGCTGTAAAATCATTACCTGGGCTTAGTGCATCAAACACTCCATACAAGGAAACTCACACTGTTGATTGGTTCCTCTAGGAGAACCTCAACAAGCTGATGACCAATCTGCGGAGCACTCACCCCCATTTTGTGCGCTGTATCATCCCCAATGAGACTAAAACACCTGGTAAGCTGCTCAGGCAGGAAGATCCTTGCTCTGATCCATCCATTCCCCTCTGCACTGCAACCTGTGCCATTCATTTGTGCTCTGCATTGCCAGGTGCCATGGAGCACGAGTTGGTGCTGCACCAGCTGCGCTGTAACGGCGTGCTGGAAGGGATCAGGATTTGCAGGAAAGGCTTCCCCAGCAGAGTCCTCTATGCTGACTTCAAACAGAGGTGAGAGCTCTGTGCTTGTCAGCATCATTAACAGCAATGTTGGTTCATTCATGGGTCCATTTAGGCTGTGTTCTAATTTTAAAAAGAGTTGGTGCAGTTTAGTGGATTGGAAAAAAATAGCCTTATCTTCCTCTGATTCCACAGATACAAGGTGCTTAATGCCAGTGCCATCCCCGAGGGACAGTTCATTGACAGCAAGAAGGCTTCTGAGAAGCTCCTTGGCTCAATTGATGTGGACCACACCCAGTACAAATTTGGACACACCAAGGTACAAATTCCCCCATTCACTGCATCCCTGGGCTTTGCTCTACCTGACAGTGATGTGCTGCAACATTCCCTTTCTCAAGGTGTTCTTCAAAGCTGGGCTGCTGGGACTCCTGGAGGAGATGAGGGATGAGAAGCTGGCCCAGCTCATCACCCGCACCCAGGCCAGGTGTAGGGGCTTCCTGGCGAGGGTGGAGTACCAGAGAATGGTGGAGCGCAGGTACACCTTTGTCTTCTTCAGTTCAAGTCACTCTGCTTGGGGGAAAGTGCTGACACTCACCAGACTGAGAATATTCATTATACTTTTTAATTATGCCTCAGGGAGTCTGTCTTCTGCATCCAGTACAACATTCGTGCATTCATGAATGTCAAACACTGGCCATGGATGAAGCTGTTCTTCAAGATCAAGCCCTTGCTGAAGAGTGCAGAGTCTGAGAAGGAGATGGCCAACATGAAACAAGAGTTTGAGAAAACCAAGGAAGAGCTTGCAAAATCTGAGGCAAAGCGGAAGGAGCTGGAGGAGAAAATGGTGAAACTTGTGCAGGAGAAAAATGACCTGCAGCTCCAAGTACAGGCTGTGAGTTTATCACCTTTAGTTTATCACTCAGAAAATGAGTCTGTATATTCAGATCAGAGCATAAAAGACTCTGTCATGAATTTGGGGAATTATTCATCATATGTATATGCAAGTGAGGAAACAAATTCTGCAAGTGATGTGATGTGTTAAGCACTTTGACAAACAGTGCAAGATACAGAGAGTTTCAAGTGGGAGTCAGTGTTTTTGTCTTCAGAGGAAGGAGGCAAATGTAGATCCTCAACACAACGTAGAAAAATGAATTAATTTTTCCGTCAAATGCAAAACACAACTGAAAGTAGTACTTGTGAATGCAGGTGCAGGAAAAGTCATTCTTTGCTTGGTCACTAGCAGTTAAGATCCTTCTCTTACTGAGGTTGAAGATGAGGTTCAGATGCTACCCAGTGATAAAAGATTCAGAGCAGAGAAAGTTCAAAACATTAGAACCCACAAAATTCCGTCTCCCCACCAGGAAGCAGACAGCTTGGCTGATGCTGAGGAAAGGTGTGACCAGCTCATCAAAACCAAAATACAGCTGGAAGCCAAAATTAAGGAGGTGACTGAAAGAGCAGAGGATGAGGAGGAAATTAATGCTGAGCTGACAGCCAAGAAGAGGAAACTGGAGGATGAATGTTCAGAACTGAAGAAAGATATTGATGACCTTGAGCTAACACTGGCCAAGGTGGAGAAGGAAAAACACGCCACAGAAAACAAGGTATGAGGTAGAACCTGTCAGTCACACTCACGGAAAAGAGCCCTGTGCTATTACAGAACTTCTATATCTGTTTCCTTTATTTATATTTGTTTCCTTCTTCCTAAAGGTGAAAAACCTGACTGAGGAGATGGCAGCCCTGGATGAGACTATTGTGAAGCTGACAAAAGAGAAGAAAGCCCTCCAAGAGGTCCATCAGCAGACCCTGGATGACCTGCAGGCAGAGGAGGACAAAGTCAATACTCTGACCAAAGCCAAAAGCAAGCTGGAACAGCAAGTGGATGATGTAAGCACACAGACACAGAGCAGGAACAGGACAGGTATGGAGCCTGAGCTGGCTGGTAGAGCACTGAAGGTCTTGTTGTGTTCAGCTGGAAGGGTCCCTGGAGCAAGAGAAGAAACTGCGTGTGGACCTGGAGAGAGTTAAGAGGAAACTGGAAGGAGATCTGAAGCTGGCCCATGACAGCATCATGGATTTGGAGAATGATAAGCAGCAGCTGGATGAGAAACTGAAGAAGTAAGTGTGGCTCTGGGGCTTCTGAGTGCTGGGCTGGACCACTTGTCTTCTTCCTTTGAGCTCTAACACGGTTCACTTGGTCCAAAGGAAAGACTTTGAAATCAGCCAGATCCAGAGTAGCATTGAGGATGAGCAAGCCCTGGGTGTGCAATTTCAGAAGAAAATCAAGGAGCTGCAGGCAAGTCTCTGTTCCTTCTCCTCCGTGCTCAGGCTCAGCTGAGGCAGGAGGAGGGCACGGGTGTGAAGGGTCCCTCCTGTTCTGCAGGCGCGCATTGAGGAGCTGGAGGAGGAAATTGAGGCAGAGCGAACCTCTCGCGCTAAAGCAGAGAAGCATCGGGCTGACCTGTCCAGGGAGCTGGAGGAGATCAGTGAGCGCCTGGAGGAAGCAGGAGGGGCCACAGCAGCTCAGGTGGAGATGAACAAGAAGCGTGAGGCAGAGTTCCAGAAGATGCGGCGGGACCTGGAAGAGGCCACGCTGCAGCACGAAGCCACGGCTGCCGCCCTGCGCAAGAAGCACGCGGACAGCACCGCTGAGCTGGGGGAGCAGATCGACAACCTGCAACGTGTGAAGCAGAAGCTGGAGAAGGAGAAGAGTGAGCTGAAGATGGAGATTGATGACTTGGCCAGCAACATGGAGTCTGTCTCCAAAGCCAAGGTAAAGAATTTCTGTTGCATTACTGCCCTATTATACATGGCCTAATACACGATTTTTATTCTGATTTTATTTTGCTGTCTCATTCAGCTGCATTGTTTTTCACCTTGAGAACAGCATGCTAGAACTGTGTGGTAGTCTTCTTTCTTTACATGACTTTGACGCACAGGCCACCCTGGAGAAGATGTGCCGCACACTGGAAGATCAGCTGAGTGAGCTTAAGACCAAGGAAGAAGAACATCAACGCATGATCAATGATCTCAGTGCTCAAAGAGCTCGTCTGCAGACAGAGTCAGGTAACATACCTGTAATATACACACCTGACCATACCCCTCTGGAATGGAACAACCTGTAACCGATGATAATGAGAAAATACTGATGCTTTATTCAAATTGATCTATTCTCTGTAAGCTGGTATGCTGTGCTTAAAAGAGATATTGATTGAATATTGATTTTAAATTGTAATCTGTCTGAAAACATTCTTAGGTGAATATTCACGCCAGGTGGAAGAAAAAGATGGCTTGATATCTCAGTTATCCAGAAGCAAACAGGCATTCACTCAACAGATTGAGGAACTAAAGAGACATTTAGAGGAAGAAATAAAGGTAAAGTTACTTCCTGTAGGGGGTTGATTTTGGATTTGGAATCTGTTTTCTTTATATGTATTTCCTTTATTTCCTGTATTTCTCACACAAAATCAGAATGTTAGCTGTATCGTTTAATTTTTAAGCTATCAATCAGGGTGAGAAATTTTACCTCCTCCCTCTCTGGTGTGGAAAGCTGAGGAAGACATCCCCCCCACAGTGTGGATACTGAGACAGGGAAAAACAGTTTCAGGTCTTTATTCAGATTTATGATGCCATATAAAAAATGATTGTGATATATCCAAAAAGAAACTGCACGTCTTAGTCTACATTTTCACAGTGGAAGCTGAAGCTTTAGAACATATTTGAAAGGATTAAATGATTCGCAGCTGTATAGCTGTCCTTCAGAATTTACCCATTATCTCTCCTGAGAAGGCTTTCTAGATTCTCAAAGCATAGAATGAATATGCCATTTTTTTCTAGGTCTAACTTTAAATATTATAATCAAATAATTTTCAACAACTTTCATGAAGTTAACATTTTTATTATCTCACAGGAAATTAATTGTCCCAACCCAATTGTCTCCACAGGCCAAGAACGCCCTGGCCCACGCCCTGCAGTCCGCTCGCCACGACTGTGACTTGCTCCGGGAACAATATGAGGAGGAGCAGGAGGCCAAGGGGGAGCTGCAGAGAGCCCTGTCCAAGGCCATCAGCGCACGGAGGAGCTCGAGGAGGCCAAGTATGTAGTGATAGGCAAAGAAGAA